TTCTAAATCAGCTTTTTTCTTTATTACATCCGCTTCTTGTTCAGCAAAGGACAGCTGTGCACGGGCTGCTTCAGCCTTAGCTCTTGCTCTGATAGCTGCAGAACCAATGGAAGACTGTCTGCTTCTTTTTGAGGATTTTGCTGATTTTGATTTCACTTCTTGCAGACATAATTCTTTCTGACTGTTGCTCTTCAGTTTAATTTTCTTGTTGCACGGAGTAATTTATTTGATTTATTTTTAACTGGTACTGTTTCCCTGAGCGTAGACTCATTGATGATGCGCAGTATTTTATTGTGCTTGAACCTGTTGTTAATTGTCTTTTTACTATACTGTCCTCACGATGCGTTGCTCTGCAAGGCTAGACAGTCAGCTAACATGAGGGATGAAACTCCAATAATGACTCAAGGTGTAACTTTTCCTGGGTTTAATTTTTTAATCTTTTCCCTTTTTATACTGTAAAACTGAAAATACAGAACAAAAAAGACATATCAATATCAATATCAATAAAAAGCTAAACACAAAACATAAACTACTGGCAGGTAAATTATACATTTCTGAAAGCAACAATAACACTTTCTTAATATGAAAACAATATCTTCCAGTCACTTACAGACAAATAGTGGTCCAGGAACAGTGTAAAGAGAGAACTTAGATGCACCATCTATCAAGCCGTGTGATCTGGCTACTCCTTGCTTTTAACTAAATAAAATGGCTGAACAGCCACTAGATGGCAGTGTTACTCAACCAATTACTTCAAAATAAAAGTCCTGATAGTCAAAGAAGGCAGCACAGTAATGACTTTATGAATTTCTTCACTGATAAAATAGATAACATCAGACATACAATAACAAATGTAGATTCTATAGCGTCTAATACTTCGGTTTCATTCATCACATCCAAAGATAAACTGCAGTGCTTTACAACTATAGGACAGGAAGAGCTAAATAAACTTATCACTGCATCTATACCAACAACATGCCTGTTAGATCCTGTACCCACTAAACTACTGAAAGAGTTGTTACCTGTAGCAGAAGAACCGCTTCTCAATATTATTAACTCATCGTTATCTTTGGGGTCACGTCCCAAAAACCATTCAAGCAGGCGGTTATTAAGCCTCTTAATAAGAAACCACAACTAGATCCTATTGAACTGGCAAATTACAGACACATTTGAAAAATATTCAGTTTGTCTAAAATTTTAGAAAAAGTAGTGTCTGCTCAATTGTGCTCCTTCCTGTAAAAAAATTATCTGTATGAAGAAGTTCAGGTTTCAGGCCCCACCATAGCACAGAAACTGCACTTGTTAAAATTACAAAGGACTTGCTTCTTGCGTCAGACCAAGGCTGCATCTCATTGCTAGTTTTACTTGATCTTAGTGCTGCGTTCGACACCATAGATCATGACGTACTCATAGATCGATTACAAAACTATATGGGTATTCAAGGGCAGGATTTAAAATGGTTTAGATCCTACCTATCCGATTGCTACCACTTTGTTTATTTAAACGGTGAGTCATCCCAATTGTCACCAGTAAAGTGTGGAGTGCCACAAGGATCTGTCCTAGGTCATCTGCTATTTTCAAGATATATGTTGCCCCTCTGTAATATTATTAGAAAATACGGGATTAGTGTCCACTGTTATGCTGATGATACTGACATCTCATAATCTTGTACTGCAGTTATATCTGATCAAATGCACATTACTTTTGTTTAGCTTGGGTTAAAGGTGACATATCATGAAAATCTGACTTTTCCAGGTTTTAAGTGCTATAATCAGGCAACCTATCTACCAACCAAGGAAATGTGAAAAAGATTAACCCAGTAACTTTGTTTTGGTAAGCCTTTTTCTGCAAGCGTCTGAAAAAACGAACGCGTCTGCTTTTGCTCCCTTGGTGACGTGGCAAAGGGATCTCATTATAATATTTCCGCCCCTTAATCTGTAAGTTTCCACCCACGACGCCATCTTGTATTACATATTGTAAAAAGGGGCATAACATGTCTCCTTTAAACAAATCAATTTTGCTTGGTTGTAACAGCAGCTATGCTAATTATGTCTCTATTTGTTTCTCTGTTTCTGCCACGGGATTGACATCCCATTGACACTTGTAGAAACTTAATTTTCTGTAAAGTTGCTTTGCGCTATACAAATAAATCTGAATTGAATTGTTCTGTGCTTCTCTTTTGAAGGAGCTCCTCGCCACCTACCACCGCACACGTGACAGGAGAGAAAGGGAGAAAGGAACACCAATACAGTCTCAGGCGTAACAGTAGGAACTAGATGCTGCTGATCGTCTCATCTCATGTCAAGATATTCTGTCACAGCTGCTGCTTCAGGAATCCACAGCAAGTTTCTCTCCAGAGAGTGCAGGACTAAGACTGACAGCAGCAGCTGATCGATCTCACACGTCAACAGACTTCATGAGCAGCCAGCAGGATCTGATGATTTGCACAGCTGATAACCAGTTAACCTAAATGTTCTCAATCCTGGGAAAGAGACATGGCTCTAACGACACCCTGTTCACCATGAATTCATAATGCCAAAGTCAGAACTTTTTTTTAATACTCAGAATCTGCTTTAATACTCATAATGTAGTTACTGTGCTTTCTTTTTGTAGGTCAGTTTAGTTACAGCATCAGAGAAGAATCAGAAAATACTCCAAAAAACACCTTTGACATGCACTGAACTGTCCAAAATATGGTTGTTAATTTTTTTTTTCATAACAAAAAAACAAAACAATCTAAGACTGGCGAAGAAAAGAAAAAAGTTAGCATATTCTCAACATTCAAAGCAAAAAGCCTGATGTGTTTAGTGCTACTGACAGAACTACATTGATCTATGGTTAAAATTACTCTTAAGGTTAAAAATGTGAAAGTCCTACAAACAAAACAGAAAAGTTTGTTTTCATGTGTATATTTATCAAATATAAATCTCACACTTCTTTAACTGCAGCAAAGCAAAAATAAATAAACAACTACAAAAAAACAAACAAACAGCATTTATGAAATATCTTAAAAAAATGAATGAATGTTAAAAGCAGTATATAAGAAAATACATGAAAGCAAGACAAATCATCTGTCTCATTGTCTTGGCAAAAACACAGGCATAATTTTATAACACACAAAAAAATCACTGTATTTATATCTATTAATCAAACACTTTTTTTATTCTGTTGGTTCTACTGGCAGCACAATTATATAATAATGTAATAATATCTTTAGAGCAGTTTCGCCTAGAGTTGTGTTAAACATAAGTGCTCACCTGTGAAGGATCTGATCATCCTCAAATGCATGTGTTTTGTGTCAAGAAAGCAACCATACATTCGTGTTGTGTTTTACTTTCTTTCTTTTATATTAATTTATAGTAATTTATCATTTAATCATTCAACTTCTTGGCTGATAGAAGACAGTTAATAGAGTTTTGGGTATTTTGGGTACCAGACAAGACTTCCTGTTAACAGGTTTTGGGTATTAGACTACTTTGCTGACGGGTTGTTCTGTTACCAGACAAAACAGATATTTTCTGATGGGATCTGGCGTCCGGCGCTGGATCTTAATTATCTGGAGTGAATATTCTAGAGAGGCATTTGTTTTGCTTACGTAATATGTGTACAGAGTGTATATGTATCTCTAAAGTAATTTAATCAAGCACGTGCGTCAGCAGTTCACTCAGATTCATTTCTTAAGCAAAGCGTCACTGTGTCTGCTGCTGTGAATCTCTTTTAGCCGTCTGTTGTCTTCACTGCACTCAGGGACCTTTAAACAGATAAAAGATGATGCATTATGCAGGTGATGTGAATAATGAGCTCATTCTGTTGACGATTTAGTTTTAAGATCAAAATGAACCTCTGATCATCACAAATAACTGAATCACTAAAAGCAGATTTATAATATAAAATAATCAATACATGCCACAATCTGCACGAACGCGTGCAAACTGTGACATTTTCAGTTATTGTAAAAATGATTGTACAATTGTAACATAATTCTTACGTGTTTTATTCTTCTTCCTCATGGGTTGAGCATAGGTTGCATCACCAGCATCAGCACCTGAAGAACACAAATGATAAATAACAACAAAATAATGATAAAATACATGATTTTCTTCAACGAGCCACGTGACTTTAGGAATCATTGTGATGTGCAGCAGAAACGGTGCTTGATGGTTAATTCTTAAGGTCAGTGGTTTGACTGTAACAGTGATGAAGCTTGACTTTGTGTTTCTCTCACCTCTGTCTGTGTTGTGCTTCAGGTCAGAGTACAAAGTGTCTCCAGACTCACTGCTCTTCCCTGATACAGAACAACAGACATTTGAACTACATTAATAACTGATCATATGAGGACGGAGCGATGGCTCAAACCACAAAGAAACCACAGAAGAGTATATGGATTAAAAATGTTAATCAATGTATTGATTAATAAGTGTGAAGATCATTTCCTGCCAACAGAATTACAATCAATAATTCTAATTATTTTATTTTATTAGCAGGTTCTGTAAAATATTTAGGCTATATTATTTTAAACATTTTCACATGATCTGTAACCTGCTGATGACAACATTTCAGATCATCTCTTTATTTACCTCTTTGTTTGTCCTCAGATTTCATTTCAATCAGAATATTACGAAGTCCAGCACCTATCATGAAAAACAAGAGGTTGGTTATGTGACTCTCTGCCTATAGGCCTGTTTTATTTCTGATCTAAATTCAGGAACGCAGAACCAGGCAGATGTGAATGTTGTGTACTTTTGTGTTTCTAAAAAAGTGAATTGGTTCTATCAGTCTTTATGATTGTAAAGGGTTTATTTTTCTGATAAAATTAATTTATCGGAGTTAAATGTGACGAATCATGTGATGATGCAGTTTGCTGTGTGTTTACCTTTGCCCTTGGTTTTCTTTTTGTCCTGTAAATCAATCTGTGCATAAACCAGATCACTGGGTCCTGCAGTATTAATATCTAATACAGAACAGAGGATCAGTCAAAGTGTTCAGAACATGCTGGAAATATTGTACTTTAGGAAAAACAGGATCTCACCGTTGCGTTTGGATTTCTTTACTTTGTTTCTGACTTCTGAGTATGTCACATCATTTGGCTCTGCCATGCTATCATCTAGAAAAAAAATATTAGAAAGAAATATGCACTTTTATTTCATTAATTAGAAAAGTATTAATGTTTCTGACGATGACCATATTGTTCAGGTGAAGTTAAGAGAATTTATGTTAACCTTTGTCCATCTTTTTCTTGTTTTTCTTGACAGTGACCTCTGAATATGTGACATCTGCCAATGGCTCCGGATCACCTTAAAAAAAGCTTATATGATTAAATTAATGATATTTGTTGATTTTGAATGATATGCGTTTAAATTAGGTTTATAAATCAACCTTTATCTCTCTTATTCACTTCAGTCACAACGTCATAAATGTGATCAGAACCTGCTGGACAGCAAACAAGCATTTGAGGATAAAAGGTACAAAGATATATATATATATATATATATATATATATAAAGTTTAAAGGAATAGTTAAAAAATTTGAAGAATGTTGAATCTGGTGTCCAATCACCATTGGGCCCCACTGACTTTAATTGAATGGGAAAAAAATA